AAAACGTGCTAACTTTGTCCTTTGTGAGCTTATTCGTTGTCTGAGGTGGAAGGCAGTAGTCCGCAAGACATCCGGGATCTATGTCCGTTATATGCAGTTCAACTGATCACTGCGGCCGCTGAAGCGTGGCCGTTGGCCGCGTTAGGCAGGTGGCCGCTGTAAACAGGGTACTTTACATGTAAAATTCGTAGGGACTGTTCGGTTGTGACCGCTATAGGCAGGTGGCCGCTATATCCAGGTGGCCGTTAACACAGGTTTGACTGTACAAGTCAACAACACAATGCCAACTGAACATTGATTGTGTGCAGTTAGGACTCAAAAGATCAATTCAAGTCAAGAAGTATAATTAAAATGACTGACCTTATATGACTCAATACTATGATACTCGTCATTGTCTAGTCGTTGCTGCATTGTACTAAAGTCCATAGCATGTTGTACGATGCTGGAATACCCCGGAGCTATTATATCAGTTACCGGCCATGCAAAGAATTGATTTGGGTCTTTTCTTTGCAACTGACGATGTATTACCTCAAGAATCTTTTTCAGCGGTGTTGTTTCTGGCTCTGAAAAAGTACATCCGGTTGAATTATTTGCAATGTAAGAGACACTGGCAGCTAATACATTGCATTTTCATTGTAAATATGCCCAAAGTTAGCTTGGTTGGGTCATCTGAATCATCTCAGAGGCATATTCAAATATTCGTCAGATCCATGTAATATTATATATATATTTTGTATGTGTGATACCACAGTGTGTGTAATACATTTACATGATGTGTACTGTTCTGACACACTAATGAACATGTAGATGACCACTCTTCCCCTACCCCTCTCGTTTTCAGTATACGTGTATTCAAATTTAAGGCATCACTTTTTGAACATTTCAATCTTTCCTGACACCTAAATTACGTGTAGAGTAGAGTAGAGTAGGCTATTCATAATCGCTAACACCTATTCAAGAACACAACATATTATGAATGGGTGAATGGGTGTCAATGAGCTGCTCTCACTGTGAAAAGTGTTAAATACTTCCTTGATGATAATGTTCATGTTTGTTTTTATTTGAAACTTTAAGCCAAATAAAAGCCAATGCATATTAAATTAAAATCACTGAGTTTATTTTTTTATCACATAAGAATACAGACAATTTTTGTTTCTGACTGTAAACCTTTCAATTGTTTTAAATGCCGATTTAAGAATCGAATCACGGCCTGTTTGATGTGGGGTGCTGTTAACATTAACAAAGTCATATATTTACCTTTTTCTTTCTCTCTACATAGCCTGTTTGGTAAGAACCTTCTTTCTGGTAGTGGGCTAATAAATGGCTTCTTCCTTGGAGGGGAGGCAATCCTGTCAATGTGACCAAACCCAACATCTTCAATTTCTCTTTCACGTTTCTTACTTGATTTGTCCTTCAAATAACAAGAATTGGGAATTGAGATCAATTGATTAAGATCAGTTTCACTTATGTACATTTGTTTGTGTGGGAATCATAGATATCTATGACCCTAAATTATTGTCACATTCCAAAGCAGAAAGCTGAGATATAAAATTCCTGACAGGTCATTTACTGAATGCCACTTCAACTGCTCTGTTTTGGTAGAAGCAAATAGTCAGAATAATACCAGTCACAATCCACTAAATTAACTCACCCTTTTTTCATGATGTCTGTGCTTTTCATGTTTTTCATGCGACTTTTTCTTCTTTTTTTTCTTTGAACTTTTATGATGATGTTCTTTATTATAGATCGGTTCTTCAGTAAACTTTTCATCAGCAAAGTCTACTACTTCCTGACTTGGATTACCAACCCTCAGTACTAATTTGAGAGGTTTCTCTGGAAACAAATACAAGCAATTTGTAATTTGGTGTTGTACAGCAACACATGTGGTTTGCACATGTGAATCAGTGATCTCTACTAGTCACGTGTCAGTGGTGATGTTTCAGCATGAAAGAACATAACATTCTGTGCATTCTCCAAATATCAGAGACTATCGAATTGATTACAAAGAATGCCAGCGTTGGTTACTTGGCTGACCAGTTACCATGTACTGAGAAACAGGAAATGAAGAGCAGCATCATATGGTCAGCATAATTTTGGATGCTAGCGAGATCATTCTGCCAACATTATTCATGAATAAGGTTTAAAAAGACATCCTTTCAAGCTGGAACATGCATGAACAAATGACCTCTTAGAAGCTGAGGTGAATTATAAAGAGTGGCAGAAGAACATATTGCAATGACTCACCACACCCATAATTACTCTACCCTGCATGAAAATTCAACAAAGCCTATTTTGTCTTTCCATACAATGTACTAGTTGATTAATAAAATTACAGAGCAGTGCTTTTTAGAAATATTGGTTCCGTCCATACTGGGGAGGAAGTTTAGCTCCTTGATTCCCTTAAAATGACATTACTAAAACTTTAGATAAGGTGATTACTGGTAGTCGTTTATTTCATTTGTTCTGATAGAATTCTTCTTTGGGATTCACAACAAATGTTAATGACTCAAAGACAGTTAGAAATAATACAGAACTTTACAGTTATGGCTTAAAACATCTACACATGTACATTTGATCATTTTCACATGCTGAGAACCAGTCTATGATTAGATAAGTTTTATCATTGTAAATACAATTGTTCCATTCATAGTAAATTGACTCAATTGTGATCACAGAAACTCCACAGTTCCCCCCCCCCCGATACAGATTATGAGACTATGAAACTGATTCAACTGAATAAAGTTGTCCCATTTATACCTCCAAGCAATGTTTATGGGCAAAGTTAAAATGTCCAATTGTTGCAACATTTAATTGACACCTGTTAAACACGCATTCTTATGTAAACACAGTTATCAAACAAATAAGGTGTATCATAGTTTGTAGAATAATAACAATAGTACAGACCTCATTAATTTAAAAGGGAAAACAAGTAAATGTAAGAATCAACTGACATTTGTCAGACTGTTATACACCTCAGAAGTAAACACTTCCAATAGTATACAACTTTTGAAAAAAAAAATCTCATACAAAATGTATTATCATATATAATTATAACGTTCTTTTACATGCGTGTAAATAATAATAAACAATATCTAAAGATGATCAATACTAATAAATTTGACACGTCTAATTAAAAAATTTCACACACTGCTTACACTACTGAAACGTTATTCCGATCGTCGCAAATTTCGGAAAGTCTGCATTCACACCGGCGTGATGGGACTATGTTTACAGTTCATCCCGTGTGTATACTATACAATAGTACATGATACAGAAGTTAATTAAACGCCGTTAAAATTATTTCCTGGTTCACACACAATCATAATAGGATTTGATCTGGAAAATCCGAAACAAAAATCATCTTTTTTCGTAACAGAGAGGCGCCCGTCATGACCTTTTTAAAAACCGTTCGTCCGCTCGTTCGTCTGCAGTGTATACAAACGTGCATGAACTCAGCACCCAACACATCGACAACAACAAAGAACACGACCGATCTACTCACCTTCATAGCATCTTTTCTCGGACTTATGGTGTTTCTTGTGCTTCTTTCCCATTTTCCGGTAACGATCGAACTAATCCGCTGGAATTAAATAACAACAGTTCGATAAATATGTGACGAAGAAAGATGATTTATCGTAAAATCCTCGGGAAAGCCTTTCAGCTAAAAATCCTGCAAGTCGCCATTTTGAAGATATGCAAATGTCATACGATGTTTTACGGCTGATACCCTACACTAAAGTAACTATTAGAAAGGAGTCAAAGGACACACCTGTATTCGGTCTTATTTTTAATTATACACAAATTCATTAAACAGTCAATGCTTTTGATTAATTTGAATATATCAGTAAAGCGCTGAGATAATTAAAACAAAAGTAATACTGACCACATACAATAATTAATTGTAGCAATCGAAACATACAGTTCAACTTATATGGCTATACCCACAATGCCCCTGTGTTGGTTTTAAAATGGCGGACAATTTAAAATGTGTCTTCGTCAGCAAAACAGCACAGTTTCAAACTATAACAATAATGACTCAATATTGTTAATTATATTATTGGATCAGTGGAAGAATATTGTATTGTATTTGGCAGAACAATCGGCACTGTGCATATGTTCGTTTGAGGATAAGTCTATTCAAACAGCGAGATTTGTTTTTAAATTTAATTCCGGAGTGGTGTCATCTCGCGAAAGATGGAAGTTGGCGATTTAGAAAATGCGTTACCAGATTATGTTGAACCAAGTGTACATGTGGAGATTTGTCAAAATCCCTGTAGGTATGTCATACGGTCTGTCAAGGCCATTCAATGTGTTAAGTATGCCCCCTCCCAAAGTTCCTACCACAACATCCCCGTAAGCTCTACTGTAGTGTACGTCCGGCTGAATACTACTCGGTCATATTTATGTTATTCGCAGAATTGATTTACATAGTACATCATCAATTCTTTTATCAATAGATTTAATTTTATGTCTGGCATAATCATGCATGATTATTGTCAGTATTGATGTAGATAATTTTCAGTAATATACCCTGATAGAGGGACTGTGATAAAACCATGGACGTACTACCACTACTGTTGGTAACAAGAGAAGTCGGCCAGCAGGAGAAGTCGGCCAGCAAAACAACGGAGAAGTCGGCCAGTGCGAGAAGTCGGCCAGTGAGCATCGGAGAAGTCGGTCATTACGTACATATATGTTTCGTGCGTCAAGTACAAAAGTGAGGAGTCGGCCATTTCGGTACAGACTTCGTTCGTACATAATGACTACAAACATTGTTTTTCATGTGTCAAGTACGAAAGTGAGAAGTTGGCCAGTACAGTATAGACGTAAGTCAG